ACAAAAAGGTGAGCACTCCGACGATCAAGTCAATATAGGTCGAATTCCCAGTTTAGTTCGAGGTCAGAAAATCATCGTACCTGATCGCGGAGTGAAGTCCTCTACTTATGGGTGGTAGTCCCGCTAATCTCGCGGCGGTTACACCCGGTAATCTCGGGACCGACGGTTACACCCGATAATCACGCCGCTAACAGTAGCTCACCTCGGTCCCCACCGAGCTCCTGGTATCGGACCTCGGCCAGGTTCACCTCAGCCCTCATACTTAGCATATGTCAACGCTAGTGGTGGTGATCTCGGCGGTCCGAGCTGGGCATGACTCATGAGTCATCTTGGAGCACCAATAGGGGTCCTCCACGTGTCCAGGGTATTCTCTTCCCCAAACACACTTCATCATCAAAATTGCCTTTAGACTGAGGAATTTGTAAAATAAGATCAGCCTCCAATCCAATCCAGTGAAACTCATCCTCACTTTGTCCTCATTCTAGCACCCCCTGAGCTTATTAAGGCAGCACATGAAGGTAGACTTGAAATTTCCTTCCCTAGGGATCCAAGGGTCCGATCTGTACCCCTTCTCAAATAGGTCATGCCCCCACAGGATTCTTCTCCACACCTAAGATGACATGTTACCACAATTGAGCCTTCATAAAAGAGCCCATTTTGAAATATCTACCTCGCAAAATTCTGGCTAAATGACTATCAAGAAACCTCAATATCCTCCAACTCTGCTAGCCAACATAGCCTGATTAAAAATATTCAAATCTTTAAAACTCATTTCCCTTAGATCCTTTCTAACGCACAATCTTTTCTAGCTTCTTCAATTAATTTTTCTTGCCCGATGAGTCGAATCCCACCAAAAATTTGAATAGAGTGTCCTGACAGATGGAGTTCGATAGTTTAAAACAACTCATGGCATAATTAGGATGACCTAAGCAACTGCCTTTATAAAAACCTCCTTCCCACCCAAAGGAAAAAAAAAAAAAACTTTCCCTTCCAACCCCTTAAAGCCTTCCACACTATGTCATTTATAACATTGAAGACCCGGCTTTTATTCTTTGAGATCTGGGAAGGGAGACTAAGGTATTGGCCCAATTGATGGGAAAAGGCACATGAAGCTCACTTTGAATATGATCGATCATGTCTTTGGGGTGTCCTGGCAAGTCATAGATTGAGACTTGTCGAAGTTTATTGTTTGCCCCATTCTTTCTCATAAGCATGGAGAATTTGCTTTATAGATCGGCAATCCTTCTGTGTCGCATGGAAGAAAATAAGGCTATCATCTAAAAAAAATTAAATAAGGGAAATACTTATTAATACGAAACCCAATAAAATGGGTTATCCGTTCTTCTTTATTAAGGAGAGTAGAAATACCCTCAACACACAAAAGAAAAAAGATAAGAGGATAAAGGATCTCCTAACCAAGTCCCTGTTTTGGGGTGAAAGAAGGTCCTGGCACCCATTGATGAAAATTGAGAAGTTGACCAAATCAATGCATCGTAAAATTAAAGGAATCCATTTGCTACAGAACCCCATCTTTTCCATAACCATTCTAAAAAAGCTCATTCGACATGATCATAGGCTTTTGACATGTAAAGTTTCATATCCACATCTTCGATCTTTCCTGATTTTTTATGGTCAGGGCATGGATGCTTTTGAATCCAATGATGGCATGCATTATCCAATGATGGCATGCATTATCCGTTATTAGCCTTCCTACCTTCCTGGAACAAACCCAGACTAAGTCAGAGAGATGATATCATCGAGAACCATTTTGAGTCGATTGGTCAACGTTTTTGCAATAATCTTATAAATGACATTACAAAGGCTAATTCGTCTATAGTCTGTCATCTTCTTTGGCTCCTTGACTTTTGGGATAAGCAAAATAATCTTATCTACAGACTCCACACTTCTCTCCTCTCTCCACCATTGCAATTTAAACAGTCTCGTCCCCCACTATATCCCAGTACTTTTGATAAAAGAACGCTTGAAGACCATCAGGCCTCGGAGCCTTTGTCAGGTGCATGTCTTTTCGAGCCACTTTAAATACCCTAGATAGTCTTTAATTCTGAGCCTCGAAGATTGTGGTCGGGATTGCATCAATGACAAGTTTCATATCATTTGTTGAAGAGATATTTGAATAAAACAAATGATTAAAATATTGGGATGCAATATTACGAACCTTCCCTTCATTCTCCTCCCAAGTGTCATCATTCGTGAGGAGACCTCTAATTCTGTTTACCTTCCGTCTATGGCTAGCTCGCATGTGAAACAAATTCATGTTTCTATCACCCCACTGCAACCAATCTTCTCTAGCTCTCGAGTAGCTGTTCCAGTTCGTGCTCGGCCGTAAGGGACTTTATTCTCCTGTCCAGGCCTTCGTTTCGAACAATGTCATTAATCTCTGCTTCTTTATAGACAATAGCTCCACAAATTGATCCCCCAGGCAGATCCCAATTCCATCTAGAAAGCCAAGAGAGGCAGATAGGAACATTTCGCAGGAAACGATCCATCAACACTACCTGCCTCATTTCAAACACATTGATAATATCGCAACAACCATCAAAAATAGTCCAAGAATCTTTGAAACGAAGAGGTTTAAGCCTCTTATTCCCTGCCCTCCCCTCAGTACAAACTGAACTTCAGTAGCCACAATAGGATGATGGTCCAAAGCTAAAAGATCCAGGTGCCTCACTTTCATATAAGACTGCAATTGGAACATCTCTGAATTAATAAGGAAAAGATGCTCCCATATTGGTTGAGTTGCAAAATGTCTGTCATAGCAAGTAAACCCGTCTTCTGTAAATCCCGAGTCCAAAAAATCACAACGATAAAGAACATCTCTGAAGTCTTGCATTAAACTCTATCGTCGCGAAATCCCACCCTCCTTTTCAAGGCTTGAAATTATCTCATTAAAATCACCCTGATTTTGTGTTTTCGCCCCTCCTATATTATCCATGATGGCTTCCAGAGGAGTTGTGATATTTTGTCCTTTCCTACTCGTGACTTCCGTTTCCAAGTAGAGGTTAGTTTCAATGGTTCACTTCTGTCATTTTTTTTAAATTTTCCATGCTACCTTCCAAAGAAACCAATTTACCTTTAGGCAGTGAACAAGTTGATAGTTGGGCCTTGGAACTTGACTCTCCCTGCCTTGGTTGACTACAGTGAACCGGGTCACTAATTTTGTTAGAACCCATCTGGTCCGATCGAACCGCCTCACTCGCTTTCAAAATTGGATCCATATCTCTGGTTCCCGAAATTCCCTCAGATCATCCCGTTGAGCATTAATGTCCATTCCAATAACCATATTTTCCATAATGTTTCTGTATAATTGTAACGTTTTAGTACCCACATGTGGAGGTGAGGGATTGAACAAAACCCACATGTGGAGGTGGGGGATTGAACGAACTGCAAGTAGAACATTTCACGACGGCAATCAAAATATTCACACATTTATTTTTGGTCATCGTACATGTTATTCAACGTTATATTAGTGGCTTTGCATTCAAATTATAACTATAATCATAATTACAACATTGCATTCAAGTTATACACACAATGAATACGTTCCTTATACAGATTGATGGATGCTGATTCCATTTTGAGTAACCCACCCACCGAGAAACATTGAGGACAAGCTCATTTGGCATTATGGAAAACATGGTAAATAATAAATACTCTAAGATAGAAGCTGAGGGCAAATGTAAAAGATGTAGTTTTAGAGGAAAAAAGATACTTGTTTTTACGATCAAACGAGAAACAGAACCATTACTATGTCCTTCCGAAACTCGAAAACCTCTACACAACCTTGAAGGATAAGGACCTAAAATTCTACTGTTATGAACAGACTACTTTATTAGAACTTGAGGTTTGCTGAGTGCATGATTAACAGTGAAACTCAAATTTTCAGCCATTCATCCAACTTACATATGCATTTTCGATCTTATTTGTTCAGCAAAACCAAAAATTTTGGGGCTCTCATCATCAAACTTTATGAACATAAGTTAACTTCTAAAATGTGTTTGGATCTGATGCTGAGCACCTTCAACCAGCCTCCTTACCACTTCTCCTGCGGGTAGAATCTCCTTGATTAGTCCAACTCCTTGCCCAGCATACATTGCCATGCTCTCGATGTCGCCTTTTGCCGTTGCATTTGGCACGGTACCCGCAAAGCGTCGTATACCTACATCCTGTCCAAGCATGGATGTATTATATGCGGGAAAAAGATACATATAATTCAAAGTGTGGCTGAACGCTAGTATGTTTTTTACTTCATGGTCCATTGAATGAACTATGTAACTACAGCGTTTCCATATCCCTCTTATAAAACCTGTTTAAGTGGAGAAGAACATTGTAAGGGGAGCTCACCAGGCCATTAATTGTTGAACGACCGATAACAGGCTGGTTGCTTTCATTTTCATGGGCTGGAAGTGACTTCCAATCATCATAAAAGGGCGTCTGTAGAACACGTTGTGGGGCATCGGGCCATCTTGCGCGGCCGAAAATGTTTGTATAATCGGTTGCCTCCATTTCCACCAACTTCCTTTTGTATGTAGGGTGAGCATTGCTTTCTTCAGTAGCAACGAACCTGCAATATTTCATTTAGTTCTTGGGTGCTCAAATTACTATATATAGCAACAAACTTCTAAAAGCAAAATTGAAATCTCAGGAGATGCAAAAAAATCAATAGTGATAGTACCTAAAATTCTTGAGATATGTTTCGTCATTAAATTATTTAATCGTTCCATGTTCGATAATATGAGGATAACTGCAAGTTTTGGATTACACTAAATGAAAACACTACTTAGTACATGGATTACGATGTGACCAGTCAACCTCGATAAAACTCTCTCCAACGCCATTTTCATGGCTTAAATGAACTAAAATTAGACATATGTTAAAGAATATGTGTCACGGGGCAGTTTTATTACCATACTTACCTTCATAACATGGACACGGGTTCATTAATATGGTGGCTCTGAACCTGAACCAAACGCTGACTGAACATGTGCAATATTCTTACAACTAGGAAATTCTTTCTAATTGAGCACCAATATGTAGCACGGGTCTACCAGTTTTTTAAAAACAAGTTCTGTAAGTTGTATTCACAGTTGAGCTTTTCAAACCTAGTTCCAAGGCAGACACCACGAGCACCAAGGGCCAGAGCAGCAGCATAACCTCGCGAATCTGAAATTCCACCAGCCGCAATTACAGGTATATCTTCATTTCCAACAATATCAACTACCCTTGGTAAGATGGAAATCAAACCTTCCTGTAAAGAACTAAGTCAAACTTCTATAGACAATTTATTTGAGCAACGTTATGATAAAGTTGAAAGATAAATGTGAAGAGAGGTGAAGAATATGATTAATGAACACATGAATCTAGGTGATACGACCGGAGGCAGCAAAAAGCAAACCTGGCAGACTGCTAGGTTCATGTGTTCATATACTTAGTTCAAAAATATATGCATGATTAATTTCAAAAGGGAAATACTTCAATAATATATGCATGATTAATGTCAAAAGGGAAAAATGTCAAAATACATACTGATAAAGATCAATATTCAAAATCTAGTTCTCTCCAGAGTTGATTTCAAATTGAATACAGGCTTCCAACATAATGATAGAGAAGAGCCACCTCAGGTATTTTATACGTACACACAAAGGCAAAACGGCACCAGGGAGGAACAAAGAAAAAGCTGCAGAAGTTAGTTAGTAGTGTCGTGCGGGACCCCATTTTTGTAATAGGGTTGTACAGCAATAGGCCTGGCGGGGAGGGGTCTTAGCAGCGTTCGGGCCAGTAGGGAGGGATATTGTTTTAGTAGTATTTTGGTATTCTTAGACTTGTGTGTGAGAGAGTCCTAGCCTCTCCAAGTGCTAGGAACTTTGTTTATTGTGTTATTGTTTTTGTGAATGAATTAGCTGAGACAGGTCAACTGAGACCTATCACATAACCATTATCTCAAATAAACAAATGTTGTATCCTTCAAAAGATGAACACAGAACAGGGTAACTGGGTACCCTGGGTAGGCATCTGAACTAACACAATAATCTCTAAGTGAATTGAAAGCAGACGTTTGATGAATTAACTGTCTTATGTAAATTATTTTACCTGTTAATTCTTTTCTTTTCCTAGTAATTTAGAGAACTTTTTACAAAGGAGAAGGGCCGTACAAAACCACGGCCCCCAAGTGATTAAGACAATGAAAAGAAAAATTAAACGGATTATAATGGAAGAATCTAGAAACAAATATATAGCATCGCGAATTAATTAAGTTTTCAAGGAAGAAGAAGATCTATACTTGACCAATAACATGTCCTCCTGCTTCCCGTCCTTGGACAATTATTGCATCAACACCAACATCAACTGCTTTTCTCGCTTCTTCAACACTCCCAACCTGCAAAAGTAGTTCTTAAAGCCACTAGCAACCGTGCATAAAAATATAATGATGAGACAAAGCAATCAACCATTGAATTGAACCTTTTGGACATGTACAGTTAATGTGATTTGCAAGAGAACACTCACTTGTGGAATAATTTTCACCCCAGCAGAATGAACCTGATCTACAAGATCCTTTGAACACTCTCCCCAGTAAACTTGCACAACTGCTACTTTTTCATCTAATATGGCCCTTAAATTCTGCTCATGAGGAAATGCTAAAATGACACCAACTCCAAATGGTTTTTCTGTTAAAGCTCGGGTCTTCCTTATCAATTCTCGAATAAAATCAGGTGACTCCTGGTACATATAAATATATATAAAAAGCTTTAAATGTACGAGCTCCATACAACTATTCACCTCTTGACTTTTATAATAAAAGACTGTTCGATAATCACTGTATTATATGTTTTCAATTTAAGAAGATAAGCTTGTTCAGCACTTTACACATATCAATATTCCATAATCATTTTGAGGTAACAGAAAAATTCAGAGACCAAAAACATGTGGTTTCCAAAAATCTCATTTCTTGTTCAAAATTTGGCTAAAATCCAAAACCAATACAAAAAGTAGAAACTAAGCTAAATACATCACTAGCTCTTTGACAACAAAAAACAAAACAGTTACGAAACCGATGCTTTGCTCAATTTTAGTATTAATTTATAGACTAATCAAATAAATAGCTATACGATGCTTACAGTGAATTATTTACATTCAGACCATATACGAACTGTTCACAATGACGCATTGACGAGATCAATATTTCAAATGTTCAGTTAACTCAAAAATCCCCCAGAATTCCGCAACCAGTTATCGTTTTATTGTCTGCACTCCGATAAAACCATGCAATAACCAGTAGTAAAATAAAAAGGACGATTAAAAAATTGAAGTTTCAAAATCCGAACAGGACGTACGTATGATCGAACAATCAGACATCACACGGAGATAAGAATCAATCACTGAACTAATTAGGAACAGAAATTCCGTTTCTGCTCAATTTTCGTCAGATCAGATGATGCTTCTCCACAACACGTTACATTCAACGAGCATTTTTTCCATTTTGCGGTACATCTAAAGGCAGAAAGAAGAAATAGTATAGAAAAAGATACCCAATCGGGGGCTCTGAGGAGGCCGAGTCCACCGGCATTGGCGACGGCAGCAACAAGCTCGGGACTGGAGATATCAGGTCCAAGTGGAGCCTGAACTATGCCGTACTGGAAACCAAGAATCCCTCCGAAAGCCATGTGTCTTTCTCTCTTCCGCTGGCAATGGCAATGGATTGATCGGAAGAAGCGAGAATATATTGGAAGTTGAAAGCGGCAGTGGCGGCCATGGGAGGCGGCTTGGAAGGTTACGTGAGACCTGCCGGGTTCAACACGTAAGCAAATACGCCGCACAATCGCTTTAGCCCGTCAGGTAGTGCGATACGACGACGTAATGCGGCGACGTGAACAATTCTTCCTCTCTGTTTTGTTATTTTTTTTTAGGGCAGCACGTGTTTAATCTATTAAAAGAATCGTTTTTCTTAGTCCGGAGTTAACATTCGAACTTTTATGTCATGGTTGGATACATATATCTTAACGTAAGTATAGCATCTACCAAAAGAGTCATTACCTCATTATTTCAATATATTTTGAATTTCAATATATTTTGATTAGTAAAAGCTAGGATCAATTGACCCATTACTTATATTATTATACTTATGCTTTATTTTAATTAACATCATTATTGGTGTTATTATTATGTCTTCCACTATTTGAGTGGGAGATGATTTTTTCTTTTTAAGGTTGGGTGGGAGATAAATTTGATTGCAAGCTCTCTTATGACATTTAAATATCTAATAAAACCATGGATCAATGTTTTGTGAGTTTGGTAGAGATTTGTATTAAAATAAAGAGCTTCATTCAAGTTTGTATTTGAATTCTTTAGTTAAATATAGGTCGATTTGATTTTGATTGGTTCGATTTTTTCATTTTATATTTGAGTATTGGAAGTATCGCGATTGATGTCAATATTGATTAGTTGAATTGATTTTAGTCAACATTAAAATGATTTAAATATCACGGTTTCTTTACTTTTAAGTTGGAATGACAACGAAATAAGGTGGTTTCTCAATCATGACCTCACACAAGATGTCGCTACCTCATTTCCAATTTGGAGAATCCCCATTTGTGATAGATGTTCCAAAAAATGCTCATCTTAAACTTTTCTACCAAAAATAATTATATGTGTTTAAATATTATTCCTTGGAAATTTTTATTTATACTATCTATGAGCACCTATAAATTCATCTTTAAAAATTTATATTTTGTGTTGAGGGAGAAATCCAATCAGGACATGCATCGAGCATTAAAGATGATAACGAGGTACGGAACCACAAACGGTTAACAACGTACGTTGTGCGTGTGTACGGACATGTCACCTCCAGGGCTGTACAGGACATCAAGGGCTGAGCTGCAAGGGGACAAACCCGCAGACAGATACGTCACCCACTGTTGGAGACGTCCACCCCCTTCTTCAGATCTCTTTACACCTCTAACCACCATCCTTCCTAGTCGGTCATCTGTACCCATAAACGGGAAGGACTCTATCACTATCAAGTAAATGAAAATCTGTCACTAAATCTTTAAGGTGTGTACTCCAACTTGGTGATTGAAGTATGTTAGGCGGGACACCATACCGACATCAAGTTTTCTGGTTGTAGTAGACAGACGCATTCGAAGGACACGTAGAACTCACCAAAATTAGCCGTTAATATTTATTAGTTTCTAAATTTTCAAGTTTGTTCCCTTAAACTTACCAGAAAAAGTTATTGACTTATTTTTTTTGAAAGAAAAAGTTATGTATTTATAAAAGTTAATCATTTTAATTCTCATCATTATTTTACCATTAACTATTTAATAATAGATTAAGAGTGTGTTTTGAGAATAATTTTGGCAGGACTAAAATCACTTTTGTCTTTGATAAAATTTCCTCTCTATTGATCATGTTTAGCAAATTAAAAAATTGATTTTATCATAGCTTAAAATCAGTTAAAATTGATTTTTAAGGTATCACTTAGATGGTGATTTTTTGCTTTTGATATCCGTGTTATTCTTAAATTTCTTTTTTCAATTCTACTGTCCCTCCCAAACAAATGTGGAACATTTGAGAAAATCAAGGTTATGGATGAGGTCCAATCCTACTTTTAAATGAGGATTTCCCACTCTACTTGGTATGGGGCTGGCAGGCACTAGACCCATTAGGATCTTTTAGAGAGTCGTATTCTAAAGGGAAACACTGGTAAACAATTTGTATGGTAAAAAATAGCCGAAGTAGGAGATTCAAGGCTAAGACTTTTGCCACCTTGAGTTCTCAAAGAGGTTTAAATAGTCTTCGTTAATAAATTTATCAAGGATATGTTGGCGAGTAAAGATAGAAGGAGTGATTTTGCAAAAAGAGATTCAAGTACAGTTGATTTTCTAAAATAACCATACAAGTGATATCTTAAAAATCAATTTAGAGTGATTTTAATTTTTTTTAAAATCAAGTTTTTAATTTGCCAAACATGATTAATTGAAAATGAAGTGATTTCGACAAATTGTGTCATGCCAAAATCACTCCAAAACACACCTAAGACTCTAATAGAAAAATGATTGGGTTGATGTGGCAAATTTGAGTTACAAGATTGCAGCTTTAAGGTTATTGCGTAACGTAATCGAATGGATAAATATCGCAATCTTAAATCAACGTCGTGTTGTCCTTCCATTCGTATTACATTGATATCTTTTCTTTGGAAAACACCATGATTGGGGTCTAATATCATGGTGTTCATCTAAAGATCATGATGTTCATCTTCCAATCACGTTACGTGATGACCATTTAGTAACGCGACTGCATTATATGAACACTAAGATCTTGATTTCGAGTATGACCATGACAGGGTCTACTAATATCATGTTGTTCATCTTATCGCAGAATTAGACCAGCTATTAACGTCGGCTTATCTATCAGTTGCGTCGAATCTGCTGCTCAGTTGAAAGCTATGAAACAAGTTTGCGGTAGTTCAAAACTGGAATTSGCACAATATCGCGAAGTGGCCGCCTTTGCTCAATTTGGGTCAGACCTTGATGTTGCGACTCAGGCATTACTCAATAGAGGTGCAAGGCTTACAAAAGTACCAAAATAACCACAATATGCACCACTTCCAATTGAAAAACAAATTCTAGTCATTTATGCTGCTGGCTTGTGGAACCATTTGTTTAGTATTTGTTTGGGGACCTGCCACTGGAAGGCTTTCTGCGTTCAGTCATATCACGTTACACGATGAACAATGCAATATGAAACCGTATCGCGGTAATATGGTCACTTAATAACCCCATTGATCTTACCTTAAAACAACCTATTTCCACAACTGTTTAGTTATATGAATCGATTCAGGATCAAAATGTGCTTAAAATGATTTTTTATATGCTTAAAAAGGTTTTAAAATATAAATTTCCACTCTAAAGCCCAGCAATCTTTTCGTCAGAAACTTATGAGAATTGTTAGTAGATGGACCACTTTAAACCCATTTCTAAAAATCTAGACAAATATATGATTGTAAAATGTAGGGACTAAACAAACGTATAACGGAAAACTCAAAGACCAAAAGGATATCCGCTATGATATTTTTTCCACCTTTCTAAGCTTTCCTCAACACTCTAAAGCCATCAAAGCCCTGTATATCGATATTGACACCACATCAATATCATCTGACTCTGAAAACTTGTTCTCTCTAGCTTACACAAACAATTGCTCGAGGGCAATAATATTAACTTCATAACAAGGAGTTTATTTATTTATAGTGAATTTGCCGTACATTTAATTTAAGTACATTTTCTTAAAACAGTTTCTAGAAAAGTACTTTTTTAGTCCCTAAACTTTTCACTATATGTTCTGTTGATCCCTACGTTTTAAAATCGCGCACTTTTTCTTATGCGTTATAAAAAATAGATTTAGTAGTCTCTCGACCACTAATAGATCTGTCTAAGTCTATAACAGAAAGATGACTAGGCTGGCACTAAGGTTATCATATAACGTGATTAGATGGATAAACATCGGGATGTTAAAACCACATCACAGAGTTCATCCATCCGATCACGTTACATCGAGATCTTTTCTTTGGGTAACACCATGGAAGGAAGAATTTGAGATTGAACTGTTCCTCTTTTGATTGCCTTACAGAATGACCATCTAGTAATGTGATCGCATTATGAGCACTGCGATCTTAATTTGGAGTATAACCATGATGGGACTAATATCACGATGTTCATCATCATACAGCGATATGGAATCCTATTGCGGGAATGGTCACCCAATAATCTCATCGATCCACAAGCACTAAACAACCTATGAATCGACTCATGTTCAGAACGTGCCAAAAATAATTTTCATCTATGCTTAAAAAAGTTTAACACTAAGAAAAAAATTATTGATCGATTTCTACCCTAAAGCCCAATCATCTTTTCGTTGGAGACTTATTGTTACTGAATGGACCATTGAAACCCATTTCTGAAAATCCAAAAACAAAAATGCACAATTTTTAAATATAGGGACCTCCTGCTCCAAGCCTCCAATTATATGTGCTTAGTGAATTTTATTCACTATCTTGTACTTATCTTTTACCTTTTACAAAGAGTAGCTGATACACCAAACAGGCAAACAACATTACATAGAACTTCTTTTTCACCACATCTCTACTACATTCTACGACCACTCAAAACACCATTTCAAGCCTTACTTCTACTCAAATACCACTGCTAGGTGTTACATGAACCGACCCGACCCAACATTATGTGACGTAAATAGATAAATTCCAAGTGCATTTTAGCTATATACCGTTTTTTAATCCATGATAAAATCAAAGCAAGGGTTAAGTGTACATAAGATCATTTACCCGAGGCTGCTATTCTCAGAACGATCCTGAAGCTTGACCAGTTCTGAGCCTTCTCCTCCTCAACCGCTCTGCGATGATGAAGGCAAGCTCTAGAGACTGAGAAGCATTGAGTCTGGGGTCGCAGTGAGTATGGTACCGTGAGCTCAGATCATTATATGTTATTGTCCGTGAGCCTCCAACACACTCGGTTACATTCTGCCCTGTCATCTCCAAATGAACTCCTCCAGGGTAGCTTCCCTCTTGATCGTGTACGTCGAAAAACGCTCTCACCTCAGCCTGCCATCGAGGAATCAACATTGACAGATCATTCTCGTAGTTAAAATATATACACACACACAATCATTGAATGATCTAGAAGTCAAAATCACATCTAGTTAAGCTCGTTATAACACAGTTTAAAGTTTTTTCAAACTCAACTAAGTGCGTAAAAATATTGTTCTAAGTGAAGATCTCATCTAATAACTAACTAATAACATTTAGGTTTAAAACCATAATTCAAGAAGGTCAAAAGCATCCAAGCGATTAACAAGATCATTGACAAAGACTGGTATTATTATTGTGTGTAATAAGATACAGTCTAAGGAACAAATGAAATGTATCTAAGTTGGAAAGAAAGATCATACCCTAATTGCATCAAAAGAACGTGTTTTTAGTCCACAGGGAGCTTTGATCGTATTCCCGTGCATAGGGTCGCTAACCCAAGTGACAAACTGACCAGCTCGGCGGACTTCCCTGATAAGATGTGGAAGTTTCACTCTCATGTTCTCAGCTCCCATTCTTACAATCACTACAATTCTTCCAGGCTTGTTCGTGGGATTTAGAATGTCAATAAGCTTGACCAATTCTTTTGGATCCATCTTATCACTTGCCTGTATCAAAACGTTATGTATCAGTTGTCAAATTTCTTCATGCAAAAGAGAAACCATTTATTTATTTATTATTATTTTTATAAGAAGCCAAGCTTTTATTAAGACAAATGAAAGAATGTACAAGGACATTTAAAAAATGAAAAATGAAAAAAAAATAAATATAAATAAACCTAACAGAAGGAAGTCAAGCAAGCCTAAAAAGGTGGCTCCATATTTCCAAGAAAAACATCTAACTTATAATTATAAAAATCCATAATAACCGAAGCCCACAAAGAAGTATTAAATCTTATAAGATCTCACGTGGCCTCCCAAGACCTTTCTAACCCTCCAAAACAATTCAAGAGCCATAATTGATAACCTATAGAAGAATAATATGTAGAAGGGATAAGTAGGTCAGAGAATGAGACACTTCAACAAGTAAAAGGCAAAATAATGTTGAGTCCAAAATTGATAAATAAAAAATAATACATAGGATCATCCATAAATTTGATCTTCAAACTATAAAGTAAATCACGTTATGACATAGTTTTAACAAAGACAATCAAAACAAAACCAAAATGTAGCTCATGGTAAAAAATAATGGAATCAAACTCCAACATTTAAAATCTGGATAGTTCAAGGTACCTTAATGCCAATCGGATTAGCAACGCCTCTCAAAAACTCAACATGTGCACCATCAAGTTGGCGAGTTCGTTCACCCACCCAAAGCATGTGAGCCGAGCAGTCATAGTAAATCCCAGAAGTGGAATCCTCCCTGGTAAGTGCTTGCTCATAAGGGAGGAGCAAACACTCATGAGATGTCCAGAACTCGGTTGTCGTCATGATAGGGTGATCAACAGTGAGTCCAGCAGCAGCCATGAATCCAAGGGCCTCATCAACTCTATGGGCTAGTTCTCGGTATCTGTTGGCACATCATGCAAGCAAAATATATAACCAGATTATGCAACTACAGTGAATAGTTATCAAAACGAACACTAATGGGTCGCTATATCAACATAGGTGACTGATATTCATTGAGAAGTTTACATGGAAATGATGTGATGTGCAATGACTTGATCGTAACCAAATACCAATAGAAAATTAGATTAAAAAAAGTACAGTACAGTACAGTACTTGAGAGTCAAACCTATCACCCTGCTCGCTATGCTCGGTGAAATCGAGATTCCACTGGGTAACTCTCTGCATTGCAGCATAACCTCCCGTGGCAAATGCCCTAAGGAGGTTCAATGTTGCCACTGACTGACAGTAAGCCCTATTCATTCGATCGGGGTCTGGAATCCTAGATTTCTCATCAAATGCATCACCATTTATATTGTCTCCTCTGTAGCTTGGGAGTTTCACTCCATCCTTCTCCTCATATGAATCTGATCTTGGCTTTGCAAACTGACCTGCCATTCTCCCTACCTACATCACAAATAAGTTCTATTATAAACCCGCCAAGCAAGCAAGCATAATTCCATACAATATAACCCTGGAATCATTCGGCAGTTTTCAAGGAAAGCATAATGCAGTGTTAGAAAATTCTCGCTCCAATCTCCAGTGTAGGGAAACTCGCCCTACATACTTATAAATAAGTAAAAGAAAGGAAAAACTTCAAAATTGTCGGATAACAGGGAATTCCAGCAACCATTCTATTGACTCGTATTATTGAGACTAGACGAAAACTGTAGTGATACATGTAAGTTAAAGAAATGTACAAAAGATTCAATAGATCATATAACCTATGAGCTTAAGGTTTTTGGATTAGTAGTAATCCAACATGGTATGAGATCATTGGTTCTTGTGTTTGAGCCTTGTATGGTGTTTGTAAGTGTTTTTAAAATAATTAATTTAAGCAAAAGTACTTTGATCAATTTTTTTGAATTCAACAATTGTGGAGTGAGGATCTATGCTCCAATTTACAAATGTAATTTGAATATAAGCACTCCGCACTCGAGTAAAAAGTGTTTGAAAGCTAGTCATTTTGGTGTTCGGTTCTACCCTCTAAAAGTAATTTTAAGTTTTTCCATAACAGTCACTTCAATCAAAAACACTCAACAAGGTAATTTCTCATAAAGCATTTTAATTGCTTTTGACTTGTTTTAAAATCACATCATGATTTTGAGTGAGAACTATTTTTTAGTATAGCAAAAAGTATTTTGATCATGCCAAACGTTAACTGTAGTATCATTTCTTCCACAAATAATATTGACAATCACTTGTGCATCAAATCACTTACGAACATGAATATCATCAACTAACAGTCTCGGAGAAGTAAAATCCAAAAACATGTCACTTCCTTGCAGAACGACACATAAAAATTCAAAAGAATTTAATAATGATCCCAAAATGCAAAAATAAAACAAACCAAGATCACAGCAACAGAATCAACCTTGATAACCGGCATTTGACCTCCAAACATAAGAACGACGCTCATCTGGAGCAGAACACGAAAGGTATCACGAATGTTGTTGGCATTAAACTCCTTGAAGCTCTCGGCACAATCCCCACCCTGAAGAAGAAAAGCCTTCCCCACAGCGGCCAGCGCCAGCCGCTCCTCAAGGGTCCTGGCCTCTCCGGCAAAAACCACCGGCGGGAACGACTCGAGGGTCTGGAGGACGGAATCGAGCATCGCCTGATCTGGGTATTCGGGGAGTTGCAGAGCCCTCTTTGTCTTCCAGCTATCGGGGCTCCATTGGGTGGGAGACGGTGATTTTGACTTCGATGGGCCGGCTGCATGGACGGCGGAGATGGGTTTGGGTGATCTGTTGACGGCGGTGGTGTGGAGAGATGGGCGGCGATGGTGGACGCCATGGAAGGGCTTTGAGGTGATCGGAAAGTGGGAATGGAGGAGGGATTTTGAGAAAGCCATTGATGGGGCAGTTTGAGAGAGAAAATGGAAATGTGCAACTCCCAAAGATGACGACGATTCGAGTTGTCGACTTGGGTTCTTCGAACATTCGAAAGCGGCCACCAAGAGGTACCAAAAAAGTAGGCAAATAATAGAATAGGGGTCACTGTAATTGGTTGTCTTCTTTATCTATTACCGTTTCAAGTTAGTTTTTCTTTTTTCCCCCTTGAACTATACAAAATATCCTTAACGGTATTATTTACTCCTAAACTTTCAAAATCTTTATTTTTCTCTCTCAACCTTTTTTTAGTACTACTTCTAAGGGTGAGGATTCGAACTCATGATCTTTTGGTCAAAAATAGGTCTCTTAATCTGTTTGGCATTTTTATCTTTAAACTTAACTTTTATCAACTTTTCGTCAAAAGTGGAGATGGCAATGACTTGTAAAATGTGATACACTAATGGGTGGCAAGTTTCAAGTATGCTTATGAACTTTATGGTAAGTTTCAATTGTGATACTTTTGTTTCAAAAGTTTCGTTTTAACCCAAAACCTTTGGAGTTGTTTCAAAACAATTTCACCGTTAAAATGAAGACGAAAATATAATGTGACGATTAGTTGAAAGTTAAAGGTTACATGTGGGCATAATTTGGCTATGAATGGTAAAAGAGTTGAAAAGTTTTAATCATATTTAAAATTGCTTCGATTAGAGAGGGAGACAAATTTATGAGATGTAATTTTGTTGAAATGGTGGGGAAGTCCCATATTGTGAAATAAAATTGTTTATTGGTAAAACTGCAACCTCTTTTAACTCAAACATGGGAAAGGTCGAATGAGAGAGGATTCGAGAGAAAAAAAAATCTAGAGTTCATGAGAGGAATATGTTTACGAGAGAGAAATTGTGGGAGAGGGATATTGAAAATGTGTCTGTGGAAGGGTCACTAGGTTCCATTGTCTTAGATTTATTTATTTGTTGTCTCATCCTCTCATCCATTCATGCCCTAATATTTATTTTCAACAATTAATCATGAGGTTGAGGTCCCGAATGTCCTCCGTGGTTTACTTAATTATTCCTCAAAATATATTTTGTTTTCCCCATATTTTGATTGGAGGGGGTGCAATATTTTACCTTAATTTCCAGATTCACTCACTATCCCCAAATTATATAATGTAATTTTGAATGTGATTAAGACTTGACCTTTGATTTTTGTGTCCTATTGCTCACTACGATGTCATATTTTCATCTTCAGTTTAAGTTGGAAAGCTAATGAAATGATTGTTTTGAAATAATTTTAATGATTAAGGGTCAAAATGAAACTTTTTAAATGATAATGATATAATTGAAACCAATCATAAAATCCAGGGGCATAAATGAAACCTGACTTTTTGCCACATGTACCATTATTTTACAAGTCATCACCAAATCACTTTTTTTGTTCTCATTTTAACATAATAGTTGACGAAGAGATACTTTTGAAACAAGCTTGAAGTTTAATCGTAAAAATGAAACTTTTGAAAGGTTAGAGATTATATCTGAAATATATTTCAAAGTTTAGAGACATTTTGTATAAGTAAACCTTGCTATCCTTGATTGAAAGTAGAATTTAACTGTTGTATTATTTTTAATGAAAATATTCTACATAGATCAAACATTTGTATAAATTTGTTAACTAAAATAGTCCCTTTTTAAAAATTCAGAAATCAAAGTGAATGAACCAAAATAAATCAATACTTGTGAATATTTATGAGGTTCCATCTCAAAACCAATTTTAAGATTGTGGTCCTTTTGACTCATCGATCTTGGTCGGATTCCATTCTTGGATCGGATGCTCATTTGCGCGTTTTGAGCTCTACTATCATATTAATATACATGTGATTTATCTAAAAACCAACTGACAATAAGATGTGACTATCATAATTTATTGTAAGGTACATTTTCTTTTCGACGTGGAATTTTAACCGGTCGGAGAGGACAAGGAAAAAAATAGTATTAGGAAAAAGAAAGAAAAAAGAGAAGAAGAACCAAAATCTTATCTCTGGACAACACTAGAGCTACAAACACTGCTACATAAAATTAGCAGCAGAGGAGTTGAGACAACTAACAATCTGGATTCTGATCCTTTCCCGATAATCTCATCTCTCCACAAACGCGCGCGCCACGCCCAAAAGGAGCCGCTCCTCACTTCACTCTGTGCTTCGACTCTCGTAATGAGATGCCAATGGCGTCCACGCTTTGTATAGCCACCCAATTCGTTGGCCTAAAGAATAAACTCGACGACTATCTCTCTCACAGCACCATCCCTCCAAGGCAAGTTACCGACCCATCATATGGGAACTATAAATTCTTGCCCCCTCTTCGAAATCTCATCGAATTTCGCTGCCATTCTTTTTCTTCACTCTGCTTCTGTCACAGGTCTTATCTGGGTCCATCGAGTTTATCAAGTGGTGCTCGGAAGTTTACCCTTGGGAGTCGTGGAAGGCAACTAGAACTTTACGGGACGTTCCATTTTAGAGGGTTGTTGTCGAAATGTGAAGCAACAGAGTTTGATTCGGTACCCCAAGAGAACGGAGGAGAAGGTGTTGCCATGGCCACCCTGGTTTGGAGGGCGATTAAGTTGCCAATTTACTCTGTTGCTTTGGTTCCTATAATGGTAGGTATTCAAATTTATGGCATTCTGAATCAGCTTGCTGTTCTATGGTTTTATATCAATTTCTTGAGAAATGAAGCTCGATTGTTCTTGTGCTTGCTTTTTATCCCTTACTACTGAAAAGGAGTATTAGGCCTTTGTTTGATATCGAAAAAGAAATGTTAAATTATAGGTTTGCTTTCAAAACTTTGTGACTATTTGTTAAAGAAGTGAAGTTACCATTTTAGTTCCTATCTTCTCATCGGTTTCAATTTGGTCCCAATGGTTTAACAGTTTATTTCGTGTACGCTTTGATTGAATCTCTCAAGACTTTTGTATTGACTTTTTTTTTTTTTTCATTTTTCTTTTTTCGTGGTTCCATTTGTTTACAAGAGAATTGTTTTCATGCAGTGGTTCCGCTCTTTTTTGTTTACCAATTAATTGACTTTTGATTGTGTATGTTCAATCCATGAGGTATTAGATCAGCCATCTATTGAATACAAAACCAAGTGCATGAAGATGCTTATTTAGGTGGAATATGGATATTATGCATTCCGGCTTTTCTCTTTCATTATTTTCTAATACATACAAACAGGTAGGCAGTGCAGCTGCATATTTTCAGTCTGGCAAATTTTCCACTCGGCTTTTTTTTGTAATCCTGGCTTCCTCAGTTCTTATCATCAGTTGGCTTAATTTAAGGTGAAGAACTATCTCTTGTACAGCTCGCATGCCTGTTCATATTCACACTCAACTATAGATCTATGACAGCTTAACAGTGGCATATGTTTCGAAAATTATATAAATTGTGTTCCTGGAACTACTAACTCAGAAACCTTTTCTATAGCAATCTTACTAGTATAGAGATTCAAATTTTGGAAAAGTTCTAGTAACTGTCAGTACAGGTCACACATGTCTGAACTGCAGTCATGGGCAGATGCAGAGCCAAGAAGATACCCCCTCGATATATAAAAAATAAATTAAGATTTTAATAGTTACCCTTTAATATGCACCCTTTATCATTTAGAATTGGAAATTATATACATAAAAAAAAGTTGGAATGTAAAATTTTTTCCCCTCACGACTCCGTCTTGCTTCTAAGTCTCTATACCATTTTCAGGGAAGTGTTTTTAGTTGTAGAACTCCATATTGTCACATGAATGGTCTGTTCTCACCATCACGATCCATGGAAAAGCTTTGCTTGCTCATTTCTCTGTAACATAAAGTTCAGGACGAGATATGAGGCTCAGTCCCCCATTTCAAACTAATGAATGAACATGATTCTTTTGCAGCAATGATGCTTATGATTTTAGTACAGGAGCAGACAAGAACAAAAAAGAGTCGGTTGTAAATCTGGTTGGCAGGTAAAGTTCATACTACTTTCTCTTCTAAGGATTCTAGAATTGCGTAATTTTTGTTTATTTTCTTTTATTATACAAAATTTATTGACTAGTTTGTGTTAAATCTGTGGTGCAATAAGCCCTACAGGGACACTTGTTGCTGCCTACACTTTTCTTGCCCTTGGCTTCATGGGGTTGACATGGGCATCTTTGGAGGCGGGGAACCTGCGTGCGATATTATTTCTAGCCTTTTCAATTGTTTGTGGCTACATATATCAGGTAAAAGTAAAACCTCCGGAAAAGATTTTACTACAATGCCATTATATAGGTTGTGTGCTTTATTTAACTTCTGGGATCTTATCTCTTTGGTTGTTTGTAATTTATAAGGTCTTCTAGCTCCCATCAAGTTTTTCGTTTCGTTCGAAAGAAAAAAAAAATCAAGTTTTTTGTTTCCTTTACATCTGTAGTTCTCTTCCCTATGCTACCTGTTGAAACCTAAGTTGTGCATTCTACAGCCTAAAGGCAATAAATGGATTGTTTTGAATTTTTAGTTATTTTTCTGTTCAAATCTCAGGTACAAATGAAAACTTAATCCAAATTAAACCAAACTATAAAAGACAAAAGTAAATTGTCAACTCAACCTAAATGGATGAGCACCAATATCTTACAGAATACTGAAAGTGATCAGATTTAAAGAAGGCATATATTGTAAGAAACTAAACTTTCATTCAGAAAAATCTTAATGATCAAAAGAACGAAAATACTGCACAAAGATGATGGCCCGTGCCCACTGAAAGAGGCCAAGGAAAAAAAAATTACAAATAAGCACTATGATGTGGGTGATCAAAAGTAGATAAATATTAACAAGAAAGAAAAGGATTTATATCAAACATACAAAATATGAGAACTAATTTAACCGGCAAGGTTAAACTAAAAATTTGGCTTTGTTAAAAGAAATAAACTAATTTTTCTGTGAAGTATTGTAGAAAATGGGAACTCAATATTTTTTCTCTCTTAAAGATAGTTTCTATGATCCAGAAAGTTTTATATCTTTATGTCTATGTACTTGATGGTTCATTGCATAGAGATCTTAGAACTATTTTGAATTAAGAATGCTCTAAATCTTGTCAAGACTTAGCATTTAAAGGCCCACTTCGATATCAAGCGTCCTCTGATCTTTAAAGTAAGAAAAAGTGAGCTGAGGAGCGATTTGAGAGGTCTTTATTCATATTCCATCAAGAATAAAAAATCTAGTAGAGTATAGTAAATTTCAATTAAATGAGCATAACAACTAAATGCATTTTTCACATCTGTTGACAATTGTCTCTGTTGCAGTGTCCACCATTCCGGTTAGGCTACCAAGGATTGGGAGAGCCCTTATGTTTTGCTGCTTTTGGCCCATTTGCTACGACAGCGTTTTACTTATTACAGAGTAACGCAAGGTTACTTCAATCATTTGGTCAGAATTTTTAGTTGTTTTGTCTGGTTTTGCATATTGATTGTCTGGTTCTGGTCCACAGGGAGATGAGATATCTTCCAATATCCAGTACAATTCTTTCTGCCTCCATCCTTGTTGGAATAACGACAACTTTAATTCTCTTCTGCAGTCATTTCCATCAGGTACTGCTCCTCCCTTCCCAATAAAAAACAAAATAATAATAAAGAAACAAACACGTGCATTCTTAACTCTTCTGTTGTTTTACTTTAGCGATAATTTATCCGACACCGACATTGTTGTACATAGGTCGAGGGAGATAGGGCTGTTGGAAAAATGTCCCCTTTGGTAATATATCTTTACTCAGCTTCAGTTTTTCGAAAATATTAGGTAGAGAATTTTGTGTTACATCCGTGTGTGTTAAATATAACTAAATATGCAGGTAAGGCTTGGCACAGAGAGAGGTAGCAAGGTGGTGAAGGCTGCAGTAATTATGCTTTATGCCCTTCTATTTGCTCTAGGTTTAAGCAAGAGTCTTCCATTTATTTGCACTGTAAGTGGATTCTTAAAACAAGAGCCTTGCCATTTTAAACTGAACATATTTACTAATCTGTCCTTTTTGCAATTGTTTCATTTGTAGTTCTTTTGTGGGCTTACCATTCCAGTGGGCAAACTGGTAGTTAGCTTTGTTGAAGAAAACCACAAGGTGAGGCTAACCATTTAATTTCAGATCTACTGTTAACAATGAAATGGTTTCTGTTGAAAAAAAAAATTTCTTCCTACTGAAATTTGCCAACTGAACTGCCGTTTCCCATGAGTGTTAGATAGAATGTAGGTTTTATTTTATAAGATTACTGAGAAATGTTAAATTTTGTAGGATAAGCAGAAGATTTTCATGGCCAAGTATTATTGTGTGAGGTTACATGCACTATTTGGAGCTGCACTAGCTGCTGGATTGGTTGTGGCCAGAATGATCTCTATAAATAATATGCCAAAGATTACTTTCTTTTAAGCTTGTGTTTGGCTCATATAAGATAGTTAGCTATCTCTTACCAAAATTCTGAGTTCAAATCTTCACCCAAGTGTCTGTACTAAAATAAAATAGTTATAGTTTATATCCATTCGATAATAATGGTTAGAATCTATTATCCAAGTCTACAATTAAAAAGAAAAATTGTTATAGTTTCTATGGGTTCGATAATAATAATTATAATTTAGTGCAAAATACATTTTTGGTCTTGAGGCAGATGTCTAATGAACACTTTTAATCCCTAAGGCTTGTAGTAGGTGTTTATTTTGTCCCTCAAGTTTTAAATGGACATTTTTGGTCCTTGAGACTTGAGAAATTGTTATAAATGGTCATTCCACTAGTAGTTGACCGTTAGTGGTTTTCTCTCTCTCCCTTCTCTCTCTCCCATCTCCAACTAGCCGCCACTATCGACCAACTGCACTTTCCTCGTTGCTTTTTTTTTTCAATGGAGAGTGGGGGATTCGAACTCACGACCTAATGGTTGGAGATAGATGTCAATACCGTCAAGCTAGCTCATGTTGGCAACACAATATTTCACTTTCTAAATTACATGTAACAATAAATTTGTATTAAATGATTTTCATTACATACAAATTTGTGTTAAAATTTTACAAATAACGATCAAATTGGTCCATTTTTAAGTATCCATATCAAAACTGAGAATTACATGGACTAAGATGGTATTTAAACCAATAATTTCTTTAAAGATTCTTTGATTAGATACTCATCTTCCACCAAAAATAAAATGGAATCAATAAATTGAAGATATAGAAATTGGATATTGAGTTGAAGACGTTGTACTCAAAAAAGGATATTGAGTTGAAGACTAGTTCAATGGTAGTGTGGGCTATATTTTCTTCTATTGGTCGTTTCGAGCTCGTTTGGTAATATTCCTATTTCTTCATTTTTTATAAAGAAAAATGAATTGCATGGTCCCAACATCCACGAATTCAAGTATGATAAAACAATTTAGAAACTTGTTTTTATTGTTTCCAAAATTTCCATACAATTTTGAGAATATTTCCAAAATATGAGAAATAAAAAACACATTTAGTTGTAAAATGCTTAGATTTCTTAAGAAAATTGAAAACAATAAACAAGAAATGAAAACGTTACTAAACGAACCCTTAAATAACTCTCCTTCTAAACAGACTACGTAGCCCATATATAGACTTCAAATTGGAATGCAAAATAAAAACTCAAAAGTGTAAAGAAATAAGGCTCTTAATTAAACCTAAACCATAACATTTTTTTTTCCATTTCTTCTCAGTGTCTTCGATCCACTGCCTAGTTAGATAACACAATTACCTAAATACAAAGACAAAAGTTCATTACTTTGTAAAGTATTAATATTATATATATATATATATCACGCACTCAATATGATAACAATATAGATGACTCGTTAAGTTTTATCAAACTATAGGGATCAAATTAAAACTCTTAGAACTACATAGACCAAATTGAAACTTAGTATAAATCATGATAAAAAAATTGAAACTAGACTCAAATCACACGTTAAAAAATTAAATCAAATTATAATGACCATATTTCAAATTTTAAATACTTTTGAATATTTGGATCTTTTTTGTTGATAAAATGATTATATGTATTGAATTATTAACAACTATGGTTTAAATATTATTTTGGTTCTTAAACTTTTAAGATTATTATATTTTAGTATTTAACTTTCTAAGTTTTTACCATTTTGGTCCTAAAATTTCAAAATATTTATTTTAGTCTTTACTTTTAGCTTGATTTTAACAATATGGATTTTTGGCTTCTACAGGTACCTGTAGAGTAAGAGATATCTTGAAAATTAAAATATTGATACGAATACTAAGGATTCGAATCCTTCCCTATCTGTGAAATCGAGGTAATGATGTTTTTTTAATGAAACTAAGGCGAACCGAATTAGCACTTCTGGCTATGCCTCTCTAGTAGGAACATAATAATTTCACGCTCCTTCATTGATTGGTTATTTATCTCTGTTCTTATCTCTTTCTCTGATCTCGATCTTGATTAGTTTACAGGATCGATATTTCTAGGATTTCTTATCATAACACGCACGAAGATCTTTCCATTGTTAGAGGTCTTCTATTAAACATACTCTTAAGGATTATGTTACTACTTTCCTACCTCAACATAATAGGTTGACTTTGTACCACCTAGAGGTCTTATAGATCGAAATCCAGAGCAATAAGAACGAAAGCACTACCCATTGCTACACCTACCCATGCTTCAAAAGACTTAGATTATATGCTATGAAAGTCTTGTTCAGGTCATGGGTGTAAGCTCCAAAAGCTTTTGATTCTTCGTTAGGATGAGCTGTGTTCAAATTATCCAAATTGAAACGAAGAATTAAATAACTGAATTTTAAGTGGAAAAATAATATAATAATTACTGTTAATTTTTTGAAAGTTCAGGGATTAGCATTAATCAAAATAATTATTTTGTTAAAATTCAAGAATTAAAATCCAATTTTTAAAAGTTTAATGTCCAAAATAAAATAAGCACAAAATTTAAAGAGAAAAAAAAAAGAAAAGAGAGATTTATCCGTACGGATTGTACTATGGAATTGTCGTCTCATATAAGCCATTCCCGCCCAAATTCCCACCCGTTCTTCGCCAGTTCGCCCATCAGATTTCTGCAGAGGGATTCACTCTCTCTGCCGTGGACATCTTCTTCGCGGCAATGGATGATTCTCCTACGATTCCTGTCAAGGCCTTGGCCACGTTTCTGATTCGCCGACACTCCGATCAGCTCCGTTCAATTGCTCATTCCACTGATTCCAAGCTCCATTACCCTCTCTTCGTGGAGTAAGCAATTTCATGTTGTCCTTCGTCTTCCTTTCCTCATTCTCTGTTCTCTCTTCACATGCTGCCTTCGTCCTTCGTATTAGGTTCGCAGAGCTGATGGACGACGACCCACCTCTTGCTCGTCTTCTCTTCTCCCATCCGACGGAGTACTTGCGTATTTTTGACGAGGCAGCTGTCTGGGCTCATGTATGTAATCGTTATCATCGCTTCACTGTGATGTAGTTGAATGATGATTGTTGATGTTTGTTTGCGTACTGGTGATTGCAGAAGATCATTTTGGGTGATTCGAAAGGTTGTATGAACGGAGTTAAGAAGGATTTCGTCCATGTTCGGATTAATGTCGCCGGCTCGCCGCTGGAATGGCCTGGTTTGTTTCTGTTTCTGAGTTTTACTGCTGTAATGTTGATTAATTTCGAGTCAGTTGTTGGGATTCGTTTAATTGAGTTATTGTTGTTTGCGTTCTGCTTGGTTCTAGAGACTTTTCCAAGTATTGGGTCGGTCAGAGTGAAGCATCGTGGAGTGCTTCTGACACTTAAAGGGACGGTAATCAGATCTGGGGCAATTAAGATGTATGAGGGGGAGAGGTGGTACATGTGCCGCAAATGCAAGCACAAGTGAGTTGAATTTTACTCTAGTTTCAGGCTTTGTTCGTATACGTATGTACTTGCATGCAACACATTCCTGGTTCAAGTTTTCACTGTGTTAATGATTCGATTCCGATTGTTCAATTTTGAATAATCTCAACTTTTCGAAGGAGCAAGCAACCTTTGGGGATTTTAGAGATGAAATGGAATTAGAGAAGTTGCCAAGCCCATAGGTTTCTTTACTAACTCTAAATTGCTGAATTGATAATGATTGGCTTATTCTGTATTCAGCAGCAACTAAGTAATAATAAGTGTAGTTTTCGTCTCCTTCTACCAGCCATTTGGAGACCTACATTTTTGTCTTCAAAGGATATCCTCTTTGACCCCAAATCTAGTCGAGATTTTAGGGAGTTTTTACTCTAAGATTGAGGGGGAGTCCTGGTTTCCTCAAGGTGATCGGACTGGTTAATATTGTTGGTGTGGAGCTGTTTGGAGAAATGAATATTCCCAAAGACTTCTTTGTTCCAAACTTCTAATCTGCCTTTGTAACTTGAGCTTTTGCATAAAAGAAAATCCTGAAAAACCTCAGTACTATCTTCATCTCTAATTTAGTCCATGCGTTGTTAAATTTTTTGATTTTTTTTTTTGATAATTATCTGAAGTATCTTCAGTTTTAGGCCCTAATTATCCCCATAAATTAAAAATTTATTGTACAATTTAAATTTGATGTAAAATCATTCTGCAAAAAGACAGGACTACGTGGTATAGTTGTTCTTTGTGATTGATGCCTTACATATAATAGGTAGCTGAAATCTGGTGGAACACCAATTTCCATGAAGCAAATAGGGTAACTTGAATAATGATAAAATGTGTGTTTTTTTTCCTCAGATATATATATTTTTTTTGTATGTGGATTTTGGTCGTTACAAGTAATATGTCATTATCTACTTGCTTAAGATAATCTAGCATGCCCATTATACTCTCCATTTCTAAATTCTTCTTATTACTTTGTTTTGTGAAGGTTTCCAGTTTATCCCGAGCTAGAAACTAGAAACTCAATACAGTTACCATCATTTTGCCCCTCTCAGGTACTTAACATTCTCTGTCATCTGTCATACTTTTGTTAGTTCTATATCCCTGTCAAATTATGTTCATGTTTCAAATCTTCCATGCATTATGCATAGGAACCAACACACTAGCATATTGCTCCAAGTGGTTCTAAATGAGCTAAATAATGGTACATGAATTGCCCAAAATTGTGACATATTCTTGTTAGATATCCAATATATGAATTAAAATTTACCCAACCAATTAGTTTAAACTTTTGGGTTGAGTGGTGGTTTATTCATTTTTCTCATGGTATCAGAGTAGGAGGTCCTGTGTTTGAACCCCCACAAGTGAGGGAGAGTGTTAGATATCCAATATATGAATTAAAATTTACCCAATCCATTAACTTAAAGCTTTTGAGTTTAGTGGTGGTTTATTAATCCTTAACAATTCCCCAATAATTGCAATAAATTTATACCAGAAAAGTTCTCTTTGCACTGATTAAAGTGGGGGATGTGACATGTTACAGCTGTTTGGTGTTTGGAAACTTTGGAGGGGGGAAGAGAACAACATTAAGTCCAACGACCTCATTTAGCAACATGTTCTCACATCTCCCCCAAACGAGGGGGTTTTTCTGTTGCAATTAAAGAAAATAAAAAAGGAAAAGAAATAAAGGTGACAGATATGTACAACT